ATAAGACTGGAAAGAAATATTGTACAGCGTGTTACATGCCAGGCTGAAGATTTTGAATTTGAGCCCAGAGGTAATAGGGAGTCATCGAAAATTTCTGAGTGAGGGTGTGACGTGGTCAGATCTGTGCTTGAGGAATATCTAGTTAGCTTTTGTGTGAAGGATGGATTCGAGAATGGGTAGTGGGCAGCCATGGCAGTCTGCCCCCCAGGTTCTAAGAGGGAGGGTATCAACCAGAATAGTAGCCGTGATATTGGAGAGGAGCCAGGTAGGAGGGCTGCTATGGAATCCATGTCTTCTATAGATAAGAAAATCCAGCTTGGTCATCAGTGATGCTCAAAAGGAGGCTGAGGAGAATCTAGCATTTTCACCTGTAATATCATATTATCATTGAATGTTACCTGCAATAGCCCAACCTTCAAAGCCACTGATGCCACAAGATTATTACAGAAACAATATGGCAGCACATCCTATAGGTGTCTTACTGAAGCCTCGGAGAGCCACTCTCCTGTTCCCCACATGTGAGTAACAATGGAATCCAGGCAAAAAGAAAAGTGATTTATTATCAGAGAGACTAAAATCTTGGGTGGGTGAATAGGTACTTTTTAAATATATTGATAAAGTTTACTTGTCTTCCTTTTTCTTTAGCAAAAGTGGTGGGAACTTGGCATTATTCCAAATTCAAGCAATAAATCCCTGACAAAATTTTAATTCCAATGTAGGTCTAAGATGCACTTCCAAATGAGATCCTCTTTCATTTGATTCGTATGGGCAATTCAGATAGTTGAGATTTCACTCATTTTTTCCCCCTTCAAGTCTAGCTATTTTCTGGACCATTCAGGAAATGAAGGTTTAAAGCATTTTTAAAAACCTCTCAGAGGTGATCTTTGTGTTCTGGCTTTGTAGCACGCATATATATTCCAAGAGTTACGGATCTGCTTTCCTTCTCTCAACTTCATTTCTGTGCCTGGCATTTCTTGCCGACCAAACCTTAATGTTGTCAAATTAATGCTTCCTCTTTCATGTGGAACATCTGCGCTATCATTAAAACAAAATTAAGTCAGAAATGAGGATTATAATTCCACACTGAAATTAATTTTGCAAGGGAATTTGGCAGAGATCAGAAACAGGAAGGAATTCAGGGGAGTACGATTTCAGACAGCAAATCTGCTGGTGTATTTTAAAGAAGATTCACACTCCATTGTTTATCTTGAATTGGATTTTTATAAAGCCATCCTTTTGTCCGAAGACTAATCTTCTTTGAGGAGACTGGTTCTTGAAGTAGAAAGAAGTCTGGAGTAAGTAGGATTGTTAAAGTTGAAGGTGGATTTCAAAAGTTGGCTCAAGTAAAAACAAGAAGAAATAAAAGAAGGAAAAGCCAGAGTCCTGACTTTATTCTGTCTGCCTTGTTGGAGACTTTGTAAATGTTGCCTGATACCAGCTCTCCTTTCTGGTCCACAATGATAGATCTCTAGATCTTTAAGGGAATTTACAGAGACCTGCATTCATTCGACAAGCATTTAATAGGCACCTGTTATATACAAGATACTGCAGTAGGCATTGGGTATACAAAGACAAAAAAAATCAGCCTTTGCTCTTAGGAGCTACATGCTGCTGGAAGATGGAGTACGCAATGTGTATAGACACAAATACATTTAACATAGGTACTAAGTAATTTCTGCGGAAGAGTAGAGAGCACAAACATCTCAGGTGATTAGGAAAGGTCTTGTGTAGGAGGTGGTGTCTGAGCTGAACCCAAGAGGGAGTTAGAACTTCTAAGAGGTCTGGGGCAGCTAGGTGGCAGAGTGGATAGAGCACCGGCCCTGGATTCAGGAGGAACTGTGTTCAAATTCAGCCTCAGACACATAACACTTCCTAGCTGTGTGACCCTGGGCAAGTCACTTAACCCCATTGCCTAGTCAAAAAAAAAAATTTAAAAAAAAGAAATTCTAAGAGGTCGAGGGGAGCAGGGAGGGCATTCTAGACATGGAGGACAGCCTATGCAAATGCATGGTGGCAGGAGATGCAGTGTCACTACTGGGGATAGTAAGCGACCTAGTTTAGCCTATGAATAACAATAGCTAGCTAAAATTTAGCTATTACTGTCATTCATTATTATCTGTAAGTCAAATGTCTTAAGGTTTGCAAGTGCTTTACATGTATTCTCATCTGATCCTCACAACAATGCTGGGGAATAGCTATTATCATCCCCATTTTGCAGGTGAGAAAACTGAGCAAGGCAGAGGTTAAGTGACTTGCCCAGGGTCACACAGCTAGGAAGTATTTGAGGCAGAATTCAAACTCAGGTCTTCCTGACTGCAGGTCCAGTGATCCATACTGCAGATATTCAGGCCAGCTCTTCTCCTCAGGGTACTCAAGTAGATTACCCCCAACACCCTCCCCTGGAGACTTATTGTAGAGTGGAGATGACCCTCAGTTCTCAAAGGTTATACTTGGAGAGTATACAATCCCATTTTTTTCTTCTTTACTTATTGAAAATTTGTATTTGTTGATGATTTGTAAACTCTAATAAGACAATAAAAAATTTAAAATACCTGCCAGACCCTCTTATTCACCATGGTCATTTAGGTGGCACAATGTAATGGAGTGCTGGACTTTGACCTCAGACCTAGTAGCTGTGTGACCCTGGGCAAGTCTCGTGGCTGCCTCAATTTGATCATCTGTAAAATGGGAATAATAATAGCACGTACCTTCCAGGGTGGTTGTGAGGATAAAATAACCTTTGTAAAGCTCTTTTCAAACCTCAGAATGCTTTACAAATGCTGTTATCAGAATTGTAAGAATAATAATAATTTCTAATTAGTCACCAAGCACTGTAATTTCTATACTCATAACATCTTGTGCACATGCCCCCTTCTCTCTTCTGACTGCAGCTTAGATAGGTCCTCATTACTTCATGCTTGGACTATTGTCATCCCCTGCAGATGGGTCCCCCTGCCTGCCTCTCCCCATTCTAATCTGTGCTCCCTCAGTTGTCAAAGTCATCACAGGTCTGTCCATGTCGTCTCCCTATTAATGAGCTCCAATGGCTCCCTGTCCCCTTCAGAATAAAATATAAATCTCTCAGTTTGCTTTCTAAAGCCCTTTTTATTCTGACCCTTTTCTAACTTTCCAATCTTATACCCCCCTCTTCCCTCCCATATACTCTGGAATCCAGTGATAGTGACCCCCCCCAATATTCCCCTTATGTGACACTGTCAGCATTTTCCCTGGCTGGCCCCCATGCTTGGAAGTCTCTCATATTTACCCATTGGAGAGTCATTCATTCATTCATTCATTCATTCATTCATTCATTCATTCATTCCTGTCATTTCTGGTTTCCTTCAAGCCTCAGCTAAAGTCTCATCTTCTAAAAGAACTTTCCCAATCCTCCTTAATCTTAGTGCCTTCCTTCTGAGTCTACCCTCAACTTACCCTGTATATGTCTTATCTGTCCATAGTTGTTTGCGTGATGTTTCCACGTCCTGCTGTGAGCTCCTTGAGAGCAGGAACCGGATATCTTTTTTCATTTTTCTTTTTGCCTTTCTTCACATCCCCAGTGCTTAGCACAGTGTCCCACATATAGGAGACATTCGTCATTCAGTTGTTTTGGTGTTGTCTGACTCTTTGCGACCTCATTTGGGGTTTTTCTTGGCAAAGATACTGGAGTGGTTTGACATTTCCTTCTCCAACTCATTTTACCGATGAGGATCTGCGGCCAACAAGGGTAAGTGAGTTGCCCAGGGTCACCCAGCTAGTAGGTGTCTGAAGCCAAATTTGTACTTTAGATGTCTTCCTGACTCCGGGCCTGGCTCTCTCTCCACTGCGCCACCTAGTGGACATTTAGGAAATGCTTGTTGACGGATTGCCTGCCTGACGGTGCTGATCATAGATCTTAAGCCTTTTAATGTAGTTTTCCTTTATATTATTGTAGTCATTCTAAGCATTGTTCTCCTGGTTCTGCTCATTTAGTTCAGGTCATACAAGTTTTCTCAAGTCTCTGAATCCCTCTTTGATGAGCGCTACTGAGGGGGTAAGGCTTCAAGTATGGGTCTGGTGAAAGACTGCCTGTATGTAGTCCGAAGGCTGGCTTAACTAGCCAGTTTTTCAGAGGTTTATCACTGGGTTGGCCAGAGAAAGATACATTTTTTCAAATAATGTCATGCCTCAAAATCATGCACCAAATTATAGAGGGGTTGATTTTATATACATACACAAACATATACTATCTGTGAGCTCTCTCTCTCTCTCTCTCTCTCTCTCTCTCTCTCTCTCTCTCTCTCTCTCTCTCTCTCCCTCTCTCTCTCTCTCTCTCTCTCTCCCTCTCTCTCCCTCTCTCTCTCTCTCTCTCTCTCTCTCTCTCTCTCTCTCTCTCTCTCTCTCTCTCTCTCTCTCTCTCTCTCTCTCTCTCTCTCTCTCTCTCTCTGTATCCTCCATCCACAACATAGGAGTTCAGAGATGCTTGAAATGTTGAAGTCAATCTAAATAAATGAAAATGAATTTCTCTTCTTTTTTATTCATTTATTTATTTTTAGTTTTCAACATTCACTTTTATAAGATTTTGAGTTCCAGATTATCCCCCTCCCTCCTGGACTACCTCCCCAAGACAGCAAGCAATCTGGTATAGGTTGTACAAATACAATCGTATTAAACATATTTCCACATTAGTCATGTTGTGAAAGGAGAGTAAGAACAAAAGAGAAAAACTAGTATGCTGCTATCTGCATATCTTCATCATTCTTTCTCTGGATGCGGATGGCATTTTCCATCATGAGACTCTGGGAGTGGTCTTAGATCCTTGCATTGCGAGCAGAGCTAAGGCTATCAAAGTTAGTCATTGCACGACGTCGTTGTTACTGTGTACAGTGTTCTCTTGCTTCTGCTCACTTCACTCAGCATCAGTTCATGTAAGTCTTTCCAGGTTTAAAAGAGAATTTTTTAAACCCTTACTATGTTCCAAGCACTGGACTAAGTGCTGGGGATGCAAGGAGTAATGTCTGACAGCCCCTGCCCTCAAGGAGCTTACATTCTAATAGGAGGAGACAGCATATGCAGGAGGTGTCAGCTTCAAGTCGTATGGAAAGATCCCATAATCCTTAGGGCACAGTATCAAAGCAGGTGGCCACGGATTATTTTTTATGTGTCATTTCCATTAATAAACCCACATCTCTTTCTAATGTTGCAGCATTTGGCAGTGCCAAGGACTTCCGTGAGAAGAGCTTTCTTTTCTGGGTCTCTAATATCTGTGGCATGAAGTAGGGGATTGGAAAAAGCCTAGAAATAAAAAGGTTGTGGGGGAATTAAAGAGAAAAATTTGATGCAAATCCAGAATCCTGACCTGTGTTGCAATCGGCTATGCTTTATGCTTTCTTAATTCTGGGCAAAAGCTTTAGAGGATTTTCTCTGAAGAATTAAGCAACAAAACATGGCTTATTAATACTGAAGACAGTAATATGTTAAATAATCTAATAAGAAGCATAGTGTATCATGGAAAAAGCACCAAATTAAGATCCTATTTGTGAAAACAAAGAAAATTATCCTGAAATGAAAGTGATAAATAGAAATAAACAAGAAGCTGTGATGTCGCAAATAAAATAATGAGAACATTAAGAAAACTAACACCATGTTCCATGGTGTTCTTTCTTATATCTTAATGAAAAAATAGCCACTTAACATAAAACCAGGGCTTGAAGAAAAATTTCTCATGCTGAAAAGTAAAACAGAAGTACAAAATGTACTTTAATATTAAATTAGGACTGTTCAATTGTCTTCCCCACCCCCGCCCCAATTCCGGAAGGTTGGGCCAGCAGGGTCTAAGCTTTGGTGGACCCATAGAGCTGAAAAAGCTCTGAGTCCTGGCCTGGAAGCAGACTACTTAGAAAAGAGGAGAGAAATTCATTACCATAATGGTCAAAATGCACCAATCATGAGTGTATTAGATAAAGTAAAAGCAAGAGTTGGTAGAATTCCTTGAGAATTAGGGGCTGAGCTCATGGATATTCATCCATCTCTATCTGCATATCTCTCCCTCTCTACCCCCTCTGGGCAAAATGGGCCTGTCTATCAGGTCTGCATAAACATAGTACATTAAGCTCTCTGTAGTCCCAGTCCAAGATATAGGTCCTGATGGATTAAGTCAATGCACTTCCCATCCAATGCCATGTCACGGTCTAGACAGTGGGCATCCTTTCTCCATTTTGTGAATGTATCTGTCCATAATAACTCATGATAACTCCTGCTGGAAGGAGTACTTCAATTATGAAATCATGGCACAGTGTAGTAGAAAGCTCTCTAGATTTGGAGACACGGGACTGTGTTTGAATTGTATCTCTGCCACTTACCACTTGTGAAGCTCCTGTTTGCAGGTAAAGTTGTGATTGTGTCAAGTCTGTCTTGAAATGCCCTGCAACCTCCTAAATGACTTCATGGCTGCTCAAAAGATACCAGCCCAGCAATCTATATGGAAAAAAGGTCAAATGGATAAGGAATGTCTATAATCTGGATTCTGACAGGAAATTGGATAGGCAGGTCACTGAGTTAACCTGCCAGGACCGGTATTGGATGGGAACTGCAGATGGACAATGAGATAGCTTGATGCAAACATATGAGGCATTTTTAAGATAAAACGAAGGAGGACGTGTTTAATTTGTTATTTTTTTCAAAGATCAGAAACCTATTTTCTAACCCAATACTCATGCAATGCCTAGCACATAGTAGGCACTTAAAAAAGCTAGTTGACTGACCTTCTCATGCTCCTACCTCACCCCACCCTCCTGGAAAATAAGAAAAATAAAACCTTTGTAACAGACAAAATCCTTGTATTTGTTCTACCAAAAGTTAGTGTCTTTGTGAGAGGTTTCCTCTTCTTTTGTCTAACACAGTACAAACCTTACTCTGTAACCCCTAGAAACTTAAACCTTTTAGTAGTTGGGCTGTTACTATGGTTAGAGCTGACCTTCTGGGAGCTGGTACCTATGCAGCTCATTTCCTTGGGCCAGACAAAGATGGGGAGTCAGTGGGCATAAGTGAGGTGGACCAAAGATAGGCCCACCCCTCTCTGCTGGCGTGAGTAATCCATGTGGTTTGTATGTTACTCAATAAACCTTCTAATTAGATCCATTTCATTGGTGGCTTTGTCTCTGTTACTTGAAATCTCAAAACTGACGGACACACAGGCATATAATTGAATAGGAGGAAGAAAGCAAGCCAGCTGGATTGCAATTTGGAAATTGTGAAATGCTTTTCCCAATGATTTAAAATTGCTCCCTGACATAACAGCCCATGCTTTCAATACCAATGTGCTCCTGGTGATTCTGTATGTCTGCCAGTCACAGAGCAGTATGATGCCTAAAAAGTACATGTTGTGGATGACCCAAAGGGTAAAGAAAAAGCAGACAAGTAGGTCACAGCACATTGCCAACAATAACACACGGAAAAAGTTGAGTAAAATATATCATCAAAGATAGACATGACTAGAAAAGGAAGTGAATTCCTTACATAAAGAGAGCAAAGTCAGGGTGATGCAGAGGAAATTGTGGTGAACTTGGTGTCATTAAGTTTGAGTGCTAATTCTGGCTTTGTCATGTACTACCTTAGTGCTCTTGAGTAAGCCATGGGCCTTGTCTGGGCCTCAGTTTCCTCATTTATAAAATGAAAGAATGCACACCTGCTAAGGTCTTTCTCCATGCCACCTCCTGGACATTTCTATATGATGCCCTTGCTTCCCTTTATGTGTTGTTTCCCCCATTACAGTGTAAGCTCCTGGAGGTCAAGGACTGCTGAATTTCCTTATATTTGCAGCCCCAGAAGTCAGCACAGTGTCTGGCACATAGTAGGAGCTTAAGACAACTTAAGGTAAGCTTAAGCTTGTTGAAGGAGTGAGCTGTAGTCTTTACCTGTAGAAGGAGTATCAATACTGAGAATAAGTAAGGAACTGACATTTTACTGGGGTCTTGGAATGCTAAAGTACATTTGTCATAGGAGCACTGGTTTAGAGGCAGAAGGGACCTGAGAGGCCATTTACTCACATCCCTTCATTTTACGTATATAGGTAAGTATGTGTATATGTGTATGTATATGTATATATATAATATGTATGTATAAAGCTAGTGTTCTTTCCATTGTATCATGTGGCCTCAACAGCACAAGGTACAAGCCTAGAGAAAACCTACTTGCCCAATACGTCCCCTAGAATGAAAGGGTGGTAATTTCAGAACTATTGTAGGTAGGGTTCCCCATGTTGTTTTGTAGTAAATGACGCACTCACAAATGATTGTCATAAAGAATGAATGAAAGCAAAGAACAACCCAACATTGCTCTTGCCCCTCCTCCCAAGGACATGCCTGCGTCCCTGCTGCAGTTATCAGTGCAGCATGTGCCTGGCCTTGATTTTTTTTTTTCTTCTCCTACAGAGTTAAGAGGATTGAGTTAGGGACGTCAGCTTATGTTTCAGTAGAACACCGCTGTGGCCAGTAGGGAGTTGTTCAGATATTGCATTGCAGATCATCTTCGGGTGGCAGAGTAGCTCATGGTAATAGAAGCTTTTTGAGTTTATTGATACAATTAACATTTTTGTTGTTGTTCTTAACCTCAATTGACTTTACCGGAGAACCTGAGAAAAGCATCTTCCACGATGCTTGGGAAAAGGCAGAGGAGCAGGTGTGGATACATGGAAGGACAATTTCCCCCCCCAATCACTAGGCAGTGACGGGCACTGAGATTAAAGAGAAAAATCTTATTTATGCTATGGTAGCTGTTGTGTCAGTCAACCAACAAGCATTTGTGCCAGATACTGTGCCACCGCAGATGCAACCCCGGCGCCGTGCTACCGCAGACGTAACCCAGGTGCTGTGCCACCGCAGGCGCTGTGCCACCACAGACATAACCCCAGGTGCTGTGTTAGGTACTGAGGATACAAAGACAGAAATGAGATGGTCCTTGTCTGCAGGGCTCTTACATTCTATTGAGGTCTTGGGGTACTAAATTTCACTCCTAATGCTCCACACAATTTAGCTGAGTAGACTTTGTTTAACTACTAGAGGGAGACTAAAGGTCAGGCTCATCAAATAAATATTGCAGGTCACCTTCAGGATGATGGCTTTGCCCTGTCCTACCTGTGACATTGAGCAAATCTTTTCACCTTCCTGGGCCTCAGTTTCTTTGTCTTTAAAATGGGGGGATCGGACTAGATGTCCTCTTCAGTCCATTCTATCTCTGGGCCAATGTTTTTTTTATTTTTAAATTTTACTTATTTATCTATTAATTAATTAATTAATTGATTAATTTTAGCAATGAATGGCCACACATCGGAAAAATAATTACTCTATCAGGGAGGAATCATGGTGTAGGGGAAAGTGTGCCAAATTTGGTATACTGCATTAAAATCATGACTCTACCACTTGCTAGCTGTGTGATATTGGGCAAATTACTTAACCTGATTCAGCCACAGTTGCCTCATCTGCAAAATTAAGGAGTTGTACTAGGTGACCTCTGACATCTTTTCTAAATCTATCAGCCTATGTACCAACAGGTATTTATTAAGTACCTACTATGTGCTAGGATTTACTTTCTTTTCCCAGTACAAATTCATTCCCCTGAGTGAATAAAGTATATTTCTACTTCAAATACTGACCTGAAACATGACTTGGTTGAGTTTTGGATAGGACTGCTTTAGGGAATCATCCCCACTGATGTTGTGAGCTCATTGCCTAGTCTTATTCATCATCGGTTCCCCATCCTTCCATATCAGTCACCAAAACCTAGCTGAGTTGTATCTCCTCTTAATCTTTGGGATTCTGGCTGTGTGCCTTCCTGTTATATTCTGGACACAGGGTTCCATTTTCTCTTGTAGCTACCTAGGTTTTGTTCCTAACTTGCACCTGGTAACTCATTTGTGGATCCATGGTGCGCAAAGTCTGGAAGGTGGAGATGTTTTTCATGAGCTCTGCAGGGAAGTTTCCTGCATTGCCCCAAGATTGAACAAAACCATTGAATGTATTAATACTAAAGTGGTTAGATTTTTTTTTTTAGATTTAGCATTTTTGACCATATCTCTTTGATCATAGTTTTAAACCGTTTGTTTGGGCAGTATAATTCGCTGTTCTTGCCTGTAACTACAATTACCATGAATTTTATGTAGAAGTAGATTAATACATCCATGGTGCTAGGAAAAGAACATTCCATTTGGAGTCAGAGAACCTGGGTTCAAATCCTGCTCCTGCTTGTGTGATCTTGGATAAATTGCTTTACCTCTCTGGTATTAAATTCCTTCATATGAAAAATGAGAGGCTTCTGCTAGAATAATGGATTCTTAACCTGAGGTCCATAGATTCCTTCCAGAGGGTTCATGGAGAGATTTCAAAGGGTTTGTGAACTTGGATGGGGAAAAATAACATCTTTATTTTCACTACCCTCTAAAATTTAGTATTTCCTTCAATTATTTAAAACCATGATGATGAGAGAGGGTAGTTATTAAGGTCCCTCCTAGCTCTAAATCTGTCATTCTGTGAATGTAAGCCAGAAAACCAAAAATGAACCTACAACCTTTCGGGTAGAGGTTCTCATAGGGTGTGTCATGGTATATGCTGAGAATTTCCACTGGCTGTGCCATGAATTGTATGGAATTTACAGCAGCAGTCAGACTGTCAGTCTCCCAACTTTCTCATGGCATTTCATGATGCCTTGTGATAAAGAATATTGTACCATGGGCAGAAAAAAGAAAGATTGGAGAACCACTACTTTAGAAAAGAGTCTACTTTGTGATATAGCAAATGTTATTTGAGACAACTCTGTTCAAGTATCAGTCATTGCTTTGACACTTGGCTTGACCTGTGATCTCCTAGATGGAGGTATATCCTCCAAGAGTATAGATTGCGGCCCATCCACACTGTCTTGTCTTGTGGGACTCTTGTTCATGTCCTCTTGATCATACCCCGTGGGGGTGCAGACACCCCACAATGTGCTGATGGTCTTCTAAGAAATCTCTAAACAATGGAGCACCCAGGTTTTCTATCAGCCATTCCTAACTCTCTCAATGTGACTAGCTCACCTTTTCTGGTCATGGCAGATCCTCTGATGGAGGATCTTTCTAATTGTTATTATTACTCAGCTAACCGTAGGAAGCATTTGAGGAGGGGGACTGTTCACTCTGTGAGGTCTCTTCTCCCTTCTGGCTAAGCAACAACTTGTATTATGTCCAGGATATATCTTAGCTTTAATTACTGAATCAAAACAAAAGTAATCAGTGAGCATAAAAGTCAAAGGGCATCGTCTTCAAGGAAAGAGTCTGAGCAGGTGCTAATGTACTGTTCACTTTCTCAGCTTCTTGTATATGAATGGGAGGGACTTGACCTAGAATTTCAAAGGTATAGGGAAATCCTGGATGAGTAAACTCCCTCTACCAATTCAGCTTAGTTCTCTGCAATCTATTGTCTTAGAGAGTTGTCTAGAACATTGAG